AGTTGCAGAATGCAGATGCAGATCGGGACGCTCACAACGACGCTCCAGAAGAGCGCGTGCGCCACGAGGAGCCGCTTGGCGTGCGACTGCCACACCGGAAAGTCGGGGACGTGCTCGCAGAGGGGTGGCTCAGCACCGATTTTTTGTCTTTTGGGTCCAAAACGGGTCAAATACGACAAACATGCCATAATAAAATTGATAAAATGACGAATATTGCGAATTTCGAAAAGAAAAAAATTTTCCATCTCGGAAAAGATGTAAGGCGTGGATAAAAAATGGTTTGGTGGCGTCAAGGCGCATGACGAAGTGCTAGGTGGCTGCCCACTGCGATTCCAGTGGTTTTAGGACCAACGAATTGTTTAAAAATATGCAGCCATCATTCCTTAGCATTCACTCTCAATTGTGAGTAACACTCGACTGAGCGATCGAAAACCCGGGGTACATCCGGATAGTGTCTGGATAATGGATATATTCCGGTGTACATACACCGGGATTGGAGCGAGCCATGATGCTGGCCATGATGTGGTGATCGTCCAGGCGCACCAAAGCGCATTGACCGGAGTGCCAGAGAGGCACCATGCATGGACCTTGTCAAGATAAGGTACTAACGAGCATGACTAACAAGAAACTATGTATTCCTTTACCCGAGGTGAGTTACCCCTGGTTTAGTTCTACGGTTGACATGTTCGTCTTGCTGAAGTGGATCCGAATCCGTTTGAGGTCGCGAGCTAAACTACCCGACAACAAGTTGTTGAGCTTGGTCTGTGTGTCTGGATGTCGCCTCTTCGTGTAGGGCGCGTCACAGTCTTCCGGACGACGGTTCCACTGCAGGATCGTCCTTGGGTCCTTCATATAGCCCTTGTCGTCGTATGTGCGCCGCCGCTTCCGATTCTTGCTCAAGTCGCCATTCGCCTCGATGATAAGTAACTTGATCACGTCACGCACTAAGTGAATCCACCTCATATTCTTACGAGAGACGACATGCTTGAAGAGTATACCTGTTGTGTCTTCGTCTTCCTCGTCGTCTCCATCCGTCGTGCCATCGGATCCAGCTGAGCGCTCGGACGCGGGCTCGGGCTCGGATGCGGGCTCGGGCTCGGCCTGCACCGTCCTCTGGCAAGCCGTGCACAATACTGGCTCGAGCCAACGCATGTGCTCGAGTCGGCGCTGCTCCTCGAGCCGGTGCTCGTCCTTGAGCCGCTTCGTCTCCTTGATGCGGCAGGCCATGCACAAAAGGACCCCATTGAGCTTCCGAATGGACGTGGGGTTGTTTTGACACGGTCTCGCACACGTCGAGCATGGTACGAGTATGCGTGGTGAACGGTTGCGTGGTTTGCGTGGCGAGCTTGGCACATGTTTGCGTCCCATCGTGCTCTCTTCCAAGCGGTAAAGAAAGCAATATGGCCGCAAGACGGGCAAACTGGCGCCAATTCGAATCCGGTTTTCCTGGCACTTCAAATCATTTCAAATTTGGCGCCTACTCAATGATTGGTCCATTTTTCCGGGCTTTTGATTTGTCAATTCCCAAAGACAGCCATTCCATTGGCGGAATATTTGTTCCCCATTTCCACCAATCGCGTGCCGGCACAGGAATTACAACGCTGAGCCACCCCTCTGACGTGCTCGTGCCAGTTGACGCCAATGTACGTACCC